GTTTTGAGGTCAGCTCCTGGAATGAGAGGGCTGGGCAGAGTCAGAGGCTACAGATGTGCCAAGTCAGTATCAGTTGCTTTCACTTGGACAAGTTTAGACCCTAATCTGTGAACCTTATCTGTATCAAGCACCTAGCACAATTCCTGGCTCAGGGAGGCTCCTTAATAAAAGACCTCGATTTTGCGGTGGTGACTCCTGTTTAATGAGAGGGTAGTACTAGAAGGAGTAGAAAGTTCAAGAATGGCACCTAAAACTATTCCAGGTAAAGTCAGAAAGCCACAGTCTAGAGATGGAAGCAAACTGGGAACCAGCCGGAGGTGAACCAGGTTTGGACGGTGGCCATGGTGGTGTGGTTTTTATAATCCCAACATTTGAGGGACTTAGGCAGGAGAATCTAAAGTTTGAGTACTGCCTTCATCACACAGCAAGCCCCTGTGTGAAAACAACAACAAAACCACCAACAGAAACAAAGAAGAAAATATGGGGTGACGCCCAGTTTCTAGAACCTGAAATAGACATTCAATTACATTATGGATGAAGATTTTCTCTGACATGCCAGGGAGTTTTTATTGGATTTTCTTATGTTTGGCTTTCATGTGTGGTTATCTTTTTTTTTCCTGAGTTAGAGTTTCTCTGTGTAACAGCCCTGCTGTCCTGGAACTCTCTCTGTAGACCAGGCTGAACTCACTGAGATCTGCCTGCCTCTGCCTCCCAAGTACTGGGATTAAAGGCGTGCCCCACCACACCCGGCTATGTGTGGACATCTTAATGGTGCTGCTTATTCTCAGAGAAGAGCCAACAAGTTAAGTGTAGTGCTGTGAACATGGGAATTGCTTAATGAAAGCAGTTGCCCTTTCTCTTTCACCTGTAGAAACAGAGATGGAGCTAAAGAACAGATGTCTAGACTAAGAGTACCAGGCAAACTACCTGGTTAAAGTGAAACGTGGGACTTGGAAACCAAGCAGCCTGTCAGATAAGGATTAAATTCAGTGGTGAATGCAGAGAGTATGAAAACATGGTAGCAAATCTCATTCTTAACTCTCTATCCCTAGTCAGCAGCGTGACTGAAGGAGGGAGATGGGAGATGACAGGTTGCATATATATGACTGTGACATTTGGCATGGATTGTTTCTCCCATACACCAAACATTTAGAACATATCACCTCTAATATCCTTTAAACCCTTTAAAATTCTATTCAGTAGGTATGGTTGTACCTCATTATCCAAAGATTCTAGGACCCCATGAATATGAAAATGCATATATTCTCAAATATTTCATGTAGAATGGAACAGTACTTGCCTATAGCCTTTGTAATCCTCCCATGTATTTTATTTTACTTTTTTCTCTATTGTATTTTAAATACAGATTACTTATGATACTGACTGCACTGTAGATGTTATATGAATGATGTTACATTGCTTTGTTTGGGAGAATAATGACAAAAAGAAGTTTCTGTGTGTTAAGTAGAGGCACATTTTTTTCCTGAAGTTTTTTTTCAAATATCTGTAGTTGGATGATATGGAGGGCTATCTGCAGTAGCTTTATTTTATAGATGAGAAAATAAGCACAGAATACATAAGTTGCTTGCTAGGGTTACACCAGATATTAAGTAGCCCAAATTTGAACTTAGTTCTCTCTGGTCTTAAGGCTTATGTTCTTTCTCTTCCAAATACCATCCTCCTCCTCCTCCTCCTCCTCCTCCTCCTCCTCCTCCTCCCCCTCTTTCTTCTTCTCTATTGTCCCCAAAGAAGCAGATCTTGCTTAGGATCACTAGCTGGTCATGTGTGGGCAGGACATTTGTGATTTGTTTACTATTATTTATTTGTAGCCAGGGTGTAGCCAGGAAGTAGGGAGAGGAACATTAAGTCAGACAAGTGGGGTGAGAAGAGGCACATGTGTATAGGGTTGAGTACAGAGAGGAAAAAGGGAGTTATCATGAGCTCAAATGTGCCCTGGAGTTAACTTGATGTGTCTGTTCTTGGTCACGGCTCTGGATGGTTTCTGGTACAACATTGACAAGCAGTGTCCAATACAGTGGTGGCATTCAGGATCGGAATCCCTTCAACATTACTTTACACCTACACATGCATATATACAGGCACACACATGCCATAAATATGAAGACAATTGTTTAAAAAAATAGCATGTCAGAACATACACCGTTAAATCATGAGCTGTCTTATAAAATGGAAGGCTACCCCTTGGTTGTAGTAGTGTTTCTCATGCTTATTGGATGACTGCAACACCTCCTCAAAAGAGCCAACACTAATTTGGATGCATAAAGTAGGGAAGTTTGTTGAAAACAGCAAAGGGAGGAAAAGAAAGGGAAAAGGGAAGGAAAGCCCATTCCCACTTTATACTTTTCATTAAGACTTTAAGGATTATGTAAAATGATGTTATTGTTTAGAAAGGAGTGCAATGAAATATTTATCCATATACAATTTTCTTCATTTTCTTTCAGTAAGCAAGCCTAGTAACAAATTATAATAAAACAAGCCCAATTTACAAAACCATTTAATCCCAGAGGGAATGTGACCCAGATCAGGGAGGGGCAGAGCTCAGGAATGCGTTGCCAGGTTATGTTCATTCCAGAACTTCCTAGGCTTCACCTGCACCTGAGCAATGGCCAAAGCATGTTTTGCTTTGGTCTCTTCATTCTGATGGTTCTACACTCACAAGAATGGCAGCTAGGGCTGAGCATGCAATTCCTAAGAGCACCTCATATGCAAAGGCGTGGGAATTCAGAGAGTTGACAGGGCCAAGAGAAGTTCCTGTCCCTTCCTTGACAAGTGTGTAATAACACCAGTTCCCTTCAGGAACTGGAGGCAATAATGTCGATCATATGCTTCATAGGGAATAAACCGATGGTTACAGTCAGCCTGAGTACTCAGGAACAATAGGTTTATAAAGACACACTTTCAACTACAAATTAATTATAACATATCTCTCTTGTAAGACAACTGGGTCGTGATTTTTAAATCCTTTAAAATTTTTGATTGGAAGATGTCATAAATGTGCCAATAATAATTATCAGGCTGGAGAGATGTCTCAGCGGTTAAGAGTGCTGACTACTCTTCCAGAGGACTCAATTCTCAGCACCCACGTGGAAGCTCACAAAATGTCTCTAACTCTAAGATCTGGCACCCTCACACAGACATATATGCAGGCAATATAGCAATGCAAGTGAAATAAAAGTAAATAAGTTGGTTAAAAAAGAATAATTATCATCATAAATATTTTTTATTGTATGGGACCAAAATGCTATAATGGAAAACTAATTCTTGACCATATATGTAGTCATTCACTAAAACTGTCACAAAGCTGCCTTTGGGAAGCATTGGCAGCCACTTCTTTACTAATTCCAACTACTGTGACCCTAGGGAAACCTTGGTCAAGCTCTAGAAAACCTGGGCTGATAACTTAGAGAGTGTGGTAGGCAAGAACAGACCCACTTTAAATCGTCCCTCATATTATTTGGAAGGGAAGAACCAGTCATACTCATAGAAACACACCTGGTGCCTTGTAACATCCACCCTATAATACAATGCTGTGGTTCTCAGCTGTTTTCCTCACTCCAGTCTCAAATTCTAAGACATGTTGTTCACTGCAATCCACAGGAGAGGCTCATAGTGGCAGTAACTGCGGAGGAGCCATCAGAAGGAAAGAACCAATCTGGTTGATGTATGAAAATTGTGCTTTGGATGCCCCTCCCTTAATTATCATAATATATCCAGTTCTTTTGTTTTGTTCTTTTGAAACAGGATCTTACTGTGTAGCACCAGTCTGGCCTGGAACTCAAATTGTAGACCAGACTGGCCTCATATCTACAGAAACCTACATGTTTCTGCCTCACCACACCCAACAAGATCTCAAGTTCTAATGGAAATTAACCACCTTTTGGCAATCTTCACCTCATTAGCTACTTGGAAGTATTTATGTTGTCTCAGTGGAGTTTCCCCAACTCCCATAATGTCAATTACTTGTTTTCAATATCACAAAACAACATTCTCAGAGACAGTGATTCTTTTTCATCTCTTTTTTGTTTTCTTCTCAAAGCCTTCGAGATTGTGTCGGAGTCCCTGGCTCCTGAATGGGACTTGTGAAGCAGAGAACTTCACATAAAGACGCTCATTAGCAGACCTTGGTCGATTTTAGATTTTAAGGCAAACAGTACTGGAGGGGTCCAGGGGAGACCTAATTCAGGGTGAGGGTCCGGATTTGTGAGCTAGTGTTGCTTCAGCATCTCGCCGTGTTTGTGGCGAGGTTGCTCTTGGCTCCTCCCCTGCCCGGTCCTCACTACCTTTCGCCTCCGCTTTTGCATAACTATATTAATAGAAGGGAGCACTTCGCATGCTGGCGCTCAGGCCCCAGAGAGAGGCTGACTGTAGCTTGGCAGGTGGGCTGATAGCAAGGAGATGGGTGGGGGAGTGGGAGGAGACACAACCGAGTGGCACTAGGAGTCGCCAATGGCAGTACGTGGTGGGGGCGGGATGGAGT